ATCGGGTGTGATCAAGAGGCACAATTCAAAGTTAACAGTCACTAACTGTTAACTACTTTTTAAACAGTCACAATGTTTGAAATTGTGACTGTTCAAGGTGCCTTTTCTAAACCAGCACCTACCTTTTCTTCATACCTCTTCACAAATTATTTAAGGAGCATGAATCAGACTCCAAAACATACAATTTCAAAATTCACGCCTCAGAGCTTCTCCTCCAAAGTTACACCAACCCACATATCACCTTCTCTGCTGCTGGTTTACACCAACCCGCATATACGCATCCATCACAAGAAGCAGATTTGTAATGCCCAAAATCCTCATTCAGCTCTACTTTTAAGTATTGTTGGTCTCGGACCCCAAAGGCATTATGGACACAAAGGCAATTCAATAGAACTGGAAAAGAACAACAAAATTTAAAAACAAAAATTCGAAAACCAGATCTGTAACAAATAAAGGGAAGTGAGGAAGTGAAGGTCAACAGCTACAGCATTAAAGTGAAAAAACAACACAATGCAATACCAAGCTGACCTTGTCTTGGAATGTGGTTTAATCATGATGAAACAGAAAAAAAATATATATAATTCAGTAAAAAAAAAGTGATTAAGAACTCAAGAACAAAAAAATGTATAAATAGAACCGAAAATAAGGGATCTGAGTATACAAAATGAAATGGTACCTGGATCATGGGCTTTCCGAGGATTTGAGCGAGGGGCTTGCCTTCAAATCGCGAGGAAGCGTAGCGGGCCGGTATTATTCCGACAACCCGGCTTCGGAATTTGCCAAGTCCAAGTAGACGATTGGCGAAGACGAAGTGAGCTCCGACTGCCGCTGCTATTGCAACTCCGGCAACCAAACTATGCACAATCCATGCTTTGCTGCTGCTCCCTGATTCAGCAGGAGTACAAATCGGCATCTGCTTCATCCTCTCTTTTCGAGATCCTCTTCCCTTTCTTGTTCTCCACGGGAACAGAAGGGAAGGGTCGGAATGCAAGCGTTCACTGATCAGTAGTTCGCTTTTTTAATGAGAATTGAGAAGAGATGAATGCGCAGCTATCCCTTGTCCCTGAGAAGATACAGCCATACAGGCTTGGGGTCGACCCTTTTTTTATGGGAAAATTTGCTAAACAGTTAAACCTCCCCCCTTGGATTATCTGACAACTGACAATCACCTAAACCTCTTCTGGGTTTTGAATAGTAAGGTCAAGTTTGGGAATACTTAAAAAATAATTGATTATTTGAATAAGTAATTATTTCGAGTTAGGACCACGCCAATAATAAAAAATAATTGATTATTTGAAAAATAAGTCTAAAATTTGAGAAGCTCAAAATAAGCACTAATTTTTCAAATAAGCACTCCCAAACTTGGCATAAGCAAAAACCTTCATTTCACTCTCACGGAGACAATGACTTAATGCCTTTTCTAATAGTTGGGTTGAGGCCTGAGCCCAGACCGAGGTCAAGCTCATCTTCTTAAATCAAACCCAATTCACCTTGAAAATTTGGTGCACTCAGATTGGGCTCAGGCTTGGGCTGTGTGTGTGAAGATACATGTATATATGTATCCTAAGGGTTAAAAATTCTGACCTAAGTGCCTAACATGAAAAATAAAAAGTGGATAAATTGGGAAAATTGGTTTTGATAGAGGTAGATTTGGCCCAACCCTTTGGTTGTGTGACACGTGGAAGCAGTCGGGTATGACCTGGCAGGAGCGTCAGCTCAGCACAGCGACATAGCCATATCCCAAAAAGAAGCCCAAGCTCCCCAAGGAGAGGCCCCGAGCTCCTTGAAAGGAACCCGCGCTTCCCAGGAGGTGGAACCCAAGCTCTCCCAAGAAGTCCCGAGCCTTACAAGGAACCCTGCAAAGGGCGAAGCCCAGACTAACCCACCTCGGGTCAATCCAGGCCACACCCCAGCACCTCGGGACAGTCCGGGCCACACTCCTATCTGGACTCAAGACTTCACCTCGTGCACCACTCCGGCACCTCGGCTCCAGGTCGCGTGACTGAATAACCGTACCAGACAGAGAAGCCCGTACTCTGAGGCGACGTGCCTGACTAATCAGGGATTTGACAAATGGCAACTGCACTCCAACGGCCACCAGCTACCGCCATCTCAGTTGTTGTAGAGACGGCCCTGACAGAGAAGACAGTGGCGGTTATGCCTGCCCCCCACAGAGGCGGTTATACCTGATCTGGCAGAGGCTTGGGAGTGAGTGCACCAGGGTGGTTATAAAAGGCCCTCTTCCCCAGAGTAAAGGTAGGTGATATTTTGTGCCTTCTGGTCTCAGAATCTCTCATTCTCCTTGCCTTCTCAAGAGTACTAACTTGAGCATCGAAGCATTCCCACCGGGTTCCTCTCCCGGAATCTCTTGTTTCCTCCCTATTTCAGGCATCTCCTGCTCCGTCAGAGGCAAGGTTACCGGCAGGTAGGATCGACCGGATCGTGCATCGTCATTTGGCGCCGTCTTTGGGAACGCTTCAAAAAGCCTCCCCCAACCTTTAGCTCTTTACTAAAGAAAGAAAACTTAGCATTCATGGCTTCTTCCGGCAGTGATAGACGTAATGCTGACCTGAATGCCGTCGGGGAACACCCTCAGCCCTCCACTGTCTGCATCGGGCAGTTCACCATCCCCCTCTCGGTGGACGGAATCCCTAGCCTGAATGTGCCACAAACAGTGGCACCTGTGAATGTTCCCCTTCCCCCCTCTATCGAGACAACCTTCGCTGAACCAACCATTGTCCCCTTGGCAACTAGCCAGAACCAACTTGATGATTTGATGCAATGCATGCGGGCCATGCAAACCCAAATGCAGTAGCTTCAGCAACACCAACTCTACCAGCAGCAGGTACTACATCACGTCTCTCAATACCATTACCAACAGCAATTCCCCCAACTGCCTCAGAGCCAGCCACAGCTCCCACCTCGGCACCCTGCTGTCAAGCAAGTCAAGCCCTCTCCTCAGGGCGGGCGCCTTCACCGGGGAGAAGCTTCCCAGGCTTAGAACCCCTCTAGAATCCAAGCCTCATCCCCTAGCAGAAGGGAAAGACCAACTACCCCCGCTTCGTAGCATGCCGGCAGATCGGGAACCTCCCAACCTATCAAGCTAGCGTCAGCTCGGCGTTCTCAGTTCGGGCTCCCGCTCACGGAAAACCAGTTCGGCGCCTTAGCCACGGACTACCACCAGCAGTCCGGGCCCGTTGAGCTCGGCAACACTGAAGCAAGCAGCGCCAACACTGGGCCTTCCAAGCAGCCGTGGAGGCGCCGACGAGCTCACCGAACTACTACCCGCATCCTACCCGAGTTCAGAGGTAAAGAGTAAGCGAGCTCGGACGAGGTAAAGGTTACCCCTATTCTCTCAATCCCTTCCCCCCTGTCATCAGAACTCCTCGTTGTCCCCATGCCCAAAGATTTCAAACTCCCCCCACTAGACAAATATGATGGCTCCTTTGACCCAAGTGATCATGTAGATGTTTTTCAATCCCAAATGCACCTAGTGAGGGCCATCGAGTCCTGCATGTGTGTGGCCTTCACTACCACCTTCCGGGGAGTGGCTCGCACCGGGAAGAGGAAACTGGCCCCCAGGTCGATAAGGAGCTGGACCCAGTTCATACAAGTCTTCACCGCGCACTTCATCACCAGCAAGCGATGCCCCCGAACTGAGGAGAGCCTCCTCGGTATAGTCCAGAAGGAAGGGGAGTCCATCTAGGGATATATCAAGCGATTCAACGACGTCTACTTACAGATACCACGCCTAGACCCCGTAGTACAGGTCGTAGCGGCCAAGAGGGGAGTGACGCACAAGGAATTCAAATGGCACATGGTGGTCAACCAGCCCGCAACCATAGCTGAGTTTCTCAAGCTCGCAGACAGGTTCATAAGAACCGAATAGGAGATCAATCAAAGAACTGAGGGTGGGTTTGAAAAATGGAAGAGGGAAAGTGAGCCTTCCAACCAAGAGGACAGAAGGAAGAAAGACTCAGCTCAAGGGGCGAAGCCAAGTCAGCCATTCCGAGCTCCTGCGTCAGATCGGGCAGACTACACACCCTTGAACGCGAAGCGGGCCGAGATCCTAATGACGATCAAGGACGCCCCATATGTAAAGTGGTCACCCCGTCTGAAAGGGAACCCGAATGAAAGGAACAAAAATTTATATTGCAGCTTTCACAGAGACCACGGTCATAGTATCGAGCACTGTAAGAATCTCCGTGACGAAATAGAGGAACTCATTCGTCGCAAGTACCTAAGGAATTTTGTACAGAATAATAGTAGTAATAATAACAATAAGGCAGGTCGGCAGGGGGAGCACAGTAGGGATGCTCCCGAGTCTAGTAACCGGCCAGCGGAGCAGTCACAGAAGCAGCCCTCGGAGGACAGGCCAGTTCGGGGAACGATCCATATGATCGTTGGAGGACGATTGTAGCGGGTTGCACTTCAGTAGTAGTTCGGGCATCAACCTGTGAGGCCACTAGAGAAGAACATAATCCCCCAAAGCGGCCAAAGACAAAAGACCTCATACTCTTCACCGAGGACGATGCGCGTGGAGTTCACTACCCCCACGACGACGTGCTCGTCATAAAGGTAAAGATCAATGATTTCGAAGTTCGGTGCGTCCTCGTCGATTCAGGCAGTTCAGCAGACATCCTTTTCAAAGCGGCTTTCGACAAACTCCAGTTCCAAGAGGGTGACTTGAAGCCCGCGAACACCCCACTGGTCAGCTTCAGCGGAGAAGAAGTAAGGCCCTTGGGAAAGGTTACAGTACCTATGGAAGTCGGCACGTGGCCTAGCACGATGAGGCTCGAACATGACTTCTTGGTGGTTGCGACCCCCTCCCCATACAATGCCATAGTAGGTCGGCCGATCACCCACGCTTTAAGGGTTGTGGTCTCCACCTACCATTTAGCCATGAAGTTCCCCACGGACTTCGGCATTGGGGTAGTGCGAGGCGACCGGCTTGAGTCCCGCAAATGCTACGTCGCCTCCCTCAAGGGAAAAGCCAAAGTGGCCAGCGACCTTGAGCTGGAGCGACCCATGGAACAGAGTGAGGAGCGAGCTGCGCTCACGGAGGAGACCATTGCCATCCTTGTCTCGATAGAGGACCCAGCCCGAACACTTCAAGTCGGCGCTTCCCTGGAGGAGCCCTTGCGATTTGAACTGGTACGCTTCTTACTCAGTAACTTAGATATTTTCGCTTGGTCCGCGGCAGAAATGCCCGGCATAGACCCTAACCTCATTAGTTAGGCCCATTAGACAGAAGAAACGCAACCTAGCCCCAGAACAATGGAGGGCGGTCGACAAGGAGGTCGGAAAGCTCCTCGCAGCAGACTTCATAAGGGAAGTTCATTACCCGAGCTGGGTGGCCAACCCCGTTCTGGTGAAAAAGGCCAACGACAAGTGGAGCATGTGCGTCGACTACACCGACCTGAACCGAGCTTGCCCAAAAGATTGCTTCCCCCTCCCCAGGATCGNGTGAAAAAGGCCAACGACAAGTGGAGCATGTGCGTCGACTACACCGACCTGAACCGAGCTTGCCCAAAAGATTGCTTCCCCCTCCCCAGGATCGACCGCCTAGTAGACGCGACCTCGGGGCATGAGTTGCTAAGTTTTCTGGATGCCTACTCGGGCAACAATCAAATCAGGATGGACCCGGTCGACGAGGAAAAAACCACCTTCATAACCGAGTTCGGCCTATACTGCCACAAAGTTATGCCCTTCGGACTGAAAAACGCTGGGACAACCTTTCAAAGGCTTGTGAATAAGCTGTTTAAACCCTTAATTGGCAGTAAAATAGAATGTTATGTAGACGACATGGTCGTCAAAACCCAATTTTCATACGAGTTAATACAAGATTTGCATTCTGTCTTTCAAATTCTGCGCCAATTTAGCATGAAGCTAAACCCAAACAAGTGTGTCTTCGGTGTCACCTCGGGTAAATTCTTAGGGTACATCGTCAACCGGCGCGGTATTGAGGCCAACCCGGACAAAATAAAGGCCATCTTAGATATGAGACCACCCCAAAAAGTAAAAGAGGTCCAGAGGTTGAACGGCAGGATAGCCGCTCTAAGTCGTTTTATGTCCAAATCGGCAGACTGCTGCCTACCTTTCTTTAAGACAATGAA